TGGCCGATTGCATCACACAGCATTCCGTGGTTGCAGTCACTGCAAGCTGCTACTGCTACGATGCGTCATAGATCAGGGAAAGCGAGAGGCCCTCTTTCTTGCATATCTCTCTGCACCGGCTGTGCATGAGCCACACTCAAAGAGTTGGATTGGCTCAAGTTGGGTCGCAAGGTTGCAAGTCGAGACGAAAGCCGCACTATTCTGGATCAAGGCTACGCCAGTGTTGATGCAACCGAGCAAACAGAGGGTCCTGTCGTCTCAGAAACCATCGCATTCAGTTCATGCCATCACAACTGCAGAACAAGCAAAGTGGCTTGTCTGCCAGCATCAGGGACTGCTCTGTTCCCGTGCTTCATAACATGCGAGGCTGAGTCTTTGAGCCAGCTGTTGGTCCGTCATGGCGATGGACGGCTGTTGGCAACCAGCGGTCGGGTGCTTACATTAGCCGACAGGCCAGCGCTTAGCACATTGCAGTGCATAACATGTGAGTGGACTGCCGGAGCCGTATTGGAGCATAAACCCCTCGCAGTGTCAGCTGGGGAACTAAATGCGGCAACCGATGTTTCCTCTTGACAGCTGATACCTGGACCTTCGCGCATCTCTGTGCTCCAGGTCGCGGCCTCCACACGGCCAACCTCGTACGGGGCTCAGTCGCTTCGGCTCGTAAGCTACTCCCTGCTTTGTTGAGAATGTCGATCTGCACATGGTTCGCAAAGTCCTTTATTGACAAGGCGCCTGCACTGCACATATCCTCATCACCGCCTCACTTCGAAGTTCCAGCCTAAACCCGGAAACTTTGCTACGAGGTTGTGAGATCCGATCACGATTCAAAAAGCTTGACGAGTTCAGGATCATATTGAGGGTTTAGAGTAGACTTCGGTGTGCTGCGTCTGGGTCGGAGATGTTGCTCAATTATTGAGCACAGGCGGATTTGTTTATTATACTTAAACTTAGACACCAAATTCACTGGGCGTTTAGATCCCGGTTTTGAGTACAGAATCACAACCTTCATGTGGCCTGAGGAATCTGCCACGAGGTTCCAAGGTGGTGTGCCATATTAGCACGACAAGCAACAACACTTGCGGCCGTCTTCTTCGCAAGAACTGCTGGCGGTATCTCCCCGCGAAGCATTGAAAGTCGACAGGCTTCCTCCGCTGCCTGGATCTTGGCTTTCGGCAGTCAAATTCGTTCAGCTCGGGCAGAACAGCCGAAGCCGGTGCAATAATTTTCCCATAGTTTGGGTTGCACTACAGCGGAGTATTGTGTCGCTTCGGAGCCAAAAGTGAGGGTTCTCGGTCTTGACAATGCGGTTCCCGGACCAGTGTGGCACAAAGCAGGTCTTTCACAGTGTTGCTGTATGTGGCCCCAACCATTCAAAGCTTGCTCTCCATGACCTCGAATCTCCCCAATCTTGGGTTAAATTACAAAGCCACAGAACTGTCCAGATCGACCCGTCAGCGCCCTAAGGGCTTGCTTGGAGTTCCGTTCTGGGGTGCTCCTTGTTGGTACTAGTAGGCAGGCCGCTAGGCCCGATAACACTATCACAGTCGAGTATACAGTATTCCCGGTCACACTTTTTTGCGGTGCTTTCACGACACAAAGAATAGTCACTGCAAGTCCAACCCTTAAATAGGGCGTTGACTATCGTATATAAGCCCTGAGAATCTTATGGAGAGCGTGGAGAAGCGCCAAGATTAGCTTTGTACTGTCACTTTTAAGGCTCTGCGTTGTGAACCAGAGCGTTGTGGTATTACAGCTTATCTGGCTGATTTATGGGCCTGGCCTGTCTGTTCACCATCGAGGCCTCGGCCCAAGCTGGATCGGGCGACAGCCGGGTCCCTAGAGCCGTGGAGCCAGCACTCGGACCTTTCGGGTCAAGCAGAGCCTTTCTCAGCCTCCCGGCATATCCGCGTCCGCTGGCAAGCGGGACCCGTTGCAAATTCCAGTACATTGGCCTCATGTTCGTCTCGAAACAGCAACCCTCCCGGTGTGGCACCTCCCGTAAGCGCGATTTGTAAATTCCCATGCATTGACCTCGTTTTGGCCTCGTCGAAATGACGTCCCTCGCTTGACGCGGCGCATCCGGGCGTTCCGCGCGCGGTGCCGCGACATGTCCGAATCCCAAGGCCCACATTATCCGGGGAGTCACTGAATTTGCACAAGTAGTAGGTGCTTCGAGACATGGCGTGGCATTCTAGTAGTATTGGTGAGAAGATGATTCGCGAGTTTCAACTGCTGGTTCCAGGAAGGGGTCCTTGGACTCAAGTCTCAAGGGATGCTTCTTTGTTGGTTCAGTGTGAAGTATTCAAAATGCTGATCTTGGGAGGTGTTTGGAGGCTATGGATGTCGGGACTTCTGGTCCCGGGTAGTGAAAAGCGTGGCTTGGAACTTGCATCCACATAGTATCTACATTTTGCATCAGAAGCGAGATCCCAATTCCACACTTGGGCAAGGCAAGGCTTCGAAAGCCGAAGCCAGTCCTCACCTGATCTCGGAAGCATGCTACATCATAGGGGGTGCCAGGCTTTCAGGCAGGCATGAAATAAACCCTCAAGGCCCCCGAAGCTCTCTGCCTTAACGTCAGTTTGGACTTGCCTGGCTCGGCGGAGTGTGTTGCCCAAACATCCCAAAGCTTGACCACAGCTTTCTGACAGACAAGAAGCTAGACCGTCCCTCGAACGTCCCATAAGCGCAGCATGTAACCCTACTTATAAATAACATATTATGTACGAGTGTACATGCATATGGACATATTTAGCTGTTTGATATGTGTTCATGTCGAGATATTGCTCCATCTAAAGACCATTCAAGACCTCTACCAGCCTAATTTTTCATTAGGAACAGCATCAGACACCCCCTGTTGGACTAATCCCTAAAGCGGCCGAAAAGCTTCTAACAGAACTAAATGAAGGAAACCTGAAACCCTTGGCTTGCTTGTCTTTGTCCCGGATTGTGTCCGAGTGTGGGCGCCGAAACTAAGCCTTCGAGGGATCCCTCTTAGAAGGACAGCACGGGCTCAGGTTGATCTGGCCCGGGGTTTGGAGGCCGAGCTCAGAAATCGGCCGTGATGGCCCCGAAGCTTCAGAACCGGGAGGGAGGGATAAGGGTCCGGGGCCATTTTCAGGGTTGTCCGTAGGATTTTAGATAACTTGATGGGCTTTTGGGCAGGTGGTGCCTCGAGACTGGGTTGAAAGGAGGCTTTGCTAGGCTGCTCAAGCCTGCAGCCAACAAACAAAAGAAAATGGTTCAGGCAGGCGTTGATTAGGGGGCGCTCTGAGCGAGGTTTTGCAGTTGTGTTGACGCTTTGTGGGCCCCCGTGGTTCAGAGGCTCGGAGGGCTTGCAAGACTGTGGTCCGTTTACATGTGGTCTATTGGAAGGTCCATAGGCATTTTGAGAGGGTAAAAAGTTTCAGGATGGTTAAGGATTTAGGCCAAATTTTGGGAATGGGGTTGCTGTTTTCGTTGGCGACTCGAGGTCGGGGCTGCTAGGACTGCTAGGCGGGGTAGCTGCAGGGTTCAGGGTTCCAGGGGTTGCTGAGGGTTATCGGGTTGCAGGTATTCATGTCAAAAGTCATGGCTTCCAGGTTCAGTGGATTTTCGGTTTTAAGTTCTAGATGTTTGTGGTGTCTGCTGTTCAGACGGTAGCCAATTTCGGGTTCACAGTTTGCAGCAGTCAGAAGGTCGTACCCATTATTCATTTCGGATTGCGCAGGCACCGTTCTTGCAGCTGGATCCGCGTTCGGACCGTGTCAGGGAGCCTGATCACATCTATGGAGTAATTACTGAATGCCAAGACGTCGAAAAGTCTCATGCCGAAAGTGTGCGCCTGACCAAGGCCGGGTGTGCCACGGCGGCTCAAAGCCTACGGTATGTGCCCCAGGTCAAAAACTGTTTGACAGTGCCTGCCCGGACCATCCGATTCCGGCCATTTAAGATCTTACAGTGGGGTTCAAGGTTTTGTTCTAGACTCTGGACCTGTCTTGACCTGCGGTGTCGAACCCGGGGACAGGGAAAACGTCTCGAAATTCATCGCCCAAGAATAGCTTGAAACAATCTTACTTGATAGATGAACCCGTAAGCCCAGGTCAGGTGGCATGCAGTCTTAGCCGATTACTGCAGCTGACACTATCCATCAATTGGCCTGTTCTGATCACTTGGAAAAGCCCCAAACTCCTGCACTGAAGCATGCAGGGAGGGCCACCGCACACCAAGGCCAACAGCAATGGACGCACTCCGGCCACATTTGGACAGAATTGCTCGGTGTTTTTGTGGCTTTCGGAGATTTTTTGAAAGGCCAAGTCGTGCCTTTGCTACTGTGACCTCGGACCCCAAGCGCTGGACTATCCTGGACTCTACCAGCATCCCAAAGCCCGCCAGAGGCAGCGTGGCGACCGGGAGGCCGGGCTTTTCCGGCGCCCGGGGCTTAGCAAACACAGGGCCCCGGTTAGGCAATTTTGTCAAGCGGAGTTTGAGCATCCAGAGCTCGTTAGGCTAACTCAGGTCCAGCAGAGCCGCCAATGGAGTTTCAGCGCCAAACTCAGCTTGTCGACCCTCGCACGGACATTCGCAGAGCCTGTGCTATGCCAAGCCACATCACCCCTGCCTGTTGGTTACACTCATGTCTCTCTGAAGCCCGCAGTGTCGAGCCATGCTGTCTGCTGGGGAGTGTATAGTCTTCGTCTGACGGGAACGTCTCGAAGTCGAGACTACCAAAATGCTGACAAGGTTGTCTCAGTCGCCTGTTACATTTCAGCAGGCGCGTCCAGTCCGTCGGAGCTATCTCTCGAACATCCAGCAGGCCAGCAGGACATCTCGGGCACATGTGTCTTCTCAAGCGCTGCCACTGCCAGATAACTCTTGCTGAAGTCTTTATTGGCATCGTTCGTCCTGTCGATATGTTCAGGCAATAAAGATCCGGTGCACTGGCTGCATCAGACGAGCCCGCTTGTGGTTCAATTGTCTCAAGGGCCAGCTTACCCCCAGCTATCCGCCATGTCCAGGCGCACTGCGCGTGAGAGCAATGCAGAAGCGGGGGCCTCGGCATACTGCGGCAGAGTGGTGCAGGCACTGCCGCACTGCGCTGACTGCCTTTGCCAGAGCGCCGCTGAACCAGAGTTTCCGCACAAGGATTTTACAGGAACGCGCGAGCTGCGACATCTCGTGAAGCAAAGCTTCAATCAAATAGCCGAATATATGGATGTATCGTCGACCTCAGGAAATAGTGCGATCCCCAGAAAATCAAAGGCAGATCGTAGCATAGCCAAGCTCACCATGGAAGCTCTCCGACTGCGCACTCGAAATGAGGCGGCGCCGTCCGAGCGGAGCAGTGCCAAGCGGACGGCCAGCTCCAACACCCTGCGTGCTGTGAAAGCCGCATACAAGGCCACCTGGCTTCTCAGATGTTTCTGTACTTGTGTTGCTTATGCGCAGACAGTATCGCCAACCATGTGCGATACAGACAATCATACTCGGTCTGTCCGTCGTCCGTCCGTTCCTTTGCCTGTCGGTTTGTGCATCTATCTATCTGTCCAGCTATCGAGCTATCTACCTTCCTGTTTTTGCTTTCTGTGTACAGTTCAAAGCCACATATGTGTGTAAATACCACGTGCCCGGAGATGCTTCATGTTGGGGCTCATGACCGACCAGACACACACACACACATTTGCCAGTCTTTTGGTTTGATCCCTTTTTGCCTTGGCCGAGGTACCATCTCGGCCGGGATCGCCGGATTCCCACGACGAGGTGGGCTTGGCCCACTAAGCTCACTAGGCTCGTGGTTGTCATGATCTTTCTTGTCTTTCTTGTTGTTTATCCCGCGTGCCACATCTGCACCAGGCCTTGGAGATTGGTGGCCAAGAAGCACAGGATCCTTTCATTTTTCAATGCAGTGTGACATCCGCCCTGGTGCAGTGTCAAGCTGTTGGGCGCCTCGGGGTCAAACTCTGCGTGTGTGTGTGTGTGTGCATACATACATGCATGCAGGCGCACACACACACACACACACATATGTCCATATGTATATATGTATTATGTACGCACATGCATACACATACATACATGCATACATACATGCATGCATACATGCATGCATGCATACTTACGCACGTACATACATACATATGTACGTACGTACATACATACATACGCAGTCGCATACAGAGCGAGGGAGAGACATGTCACAACAGCTTGAAACATCCGACTCGAACCTATGGCGAGGAGCGACGAGAGGCTTTGCTTCGCAAGCAGCTGCGGGAAATGCGTACAGGCGGAGACATGGAGAGCGGTTTCTGACATTCGTCTTGATCGAAGTCAAATTCACACATGGCTGCTCGTTCAGGGGCATGTAGATTGTGCATCTTTGCCAAATGGTACTGTTAGAGTATGATGGATAGTCATGGAATGTCATGAACTTGATCCTGTTGCCGTCGCGCCTCTTCCATGTAGCCTGTCCCGTCCATTTGCTAACAGATCGGTTCCACTATACAACGTATATGCATTAGAAAAGAGGAATTAGTCACAGCAACGGAGCAGCAGTATCATAGCCACTGGTTTCCAAGCCGGCAGCCGGTGTCCTCGGAATCAGTTCTATCAATCCTTCTGGAAGTGCCAGGTGACGATGCGGTGTCCTACTTCACAAGGCACGTATTCGATGCCGCGGCGGTTCGGACACCGAGTGGTAACACCACCTAATTCACCAAATCTTTGGCATGGTTCCAGCCACGGCCAAGGCTGCCAAGGCAAGTCCCGCAAGCGATTGGGCTCGCACACGAAGGTTTCTTTGTCTTTTTGGAAGCAGGTATGGCGGCAACACGCAGGCCAAGATCATCTACTGCCTCCCTGCAAGCTCTCTGACTCAGGAGCCTGGGCCTCAGAGCTTCAAGCCCTCGACCCGATTGAAAAATATTTTTATGCAGCTGTATTCACGCGGTTCTATGAGTCTGCAGGTAGGCCGAGCCTGCACATGTCGTTAGTACTCCCTGCGCATTGGGCTCGATGGATCTATCGGCCAGGCTGTGCTAAAGTATTCGCAGTGCGCCGACTCAGATCTTCACAGCATAGACAATCTGATTTTCCGAAGAGGCATGTTTCCCCGGTTTGCTGAGGAACGAAGCCCCCGGGCCATACGATTTGGTCGTGGTACAGGAGGACGGTTAGCCGTGTGTTCATTTCGATGGTCGTGGTGACGAAGTCATTCTGTGTGCAAGGGTGGCGGTTTGGGTGGGACGTACGCGAGTCTGTTTCACTTCAATGTGGCAATATACCATGCAGTACCAGAACGGCAGCAGCAATCGTGCACTAGAATGTTCCAGGGGGACCTGCAGCGATAGAGCCGAATCCAATCAACATCGTTTCCTCCGGCCTTCAAACCAAGGCTCGGCTTGAGCACATTAAAGCTCGAGGAGTTGAATCCAGGATCCGTAAACGAGGCTTCGGCACAAGGGTTTCCGGGAAACGGCCAAAGATGGGCTGATGCTGAACTAGGTGCAGTCGCACATAAGCTCACGAATGCTGCAAGGACCGAATCCGTCGCGAGACTGGCGAATACTTCACGATCACGCCAAGTGGAGTTGTGCACGTTGTGCCGTGATCCGAGACTCACCGGGGAACAAGTGAAACGGGTTCTGGTTCCTCGAGCTCTTTCGACGTTCCATCCGAGCATCATCCCTTTTTTGGCCCCCCATGTGGATGATGTAATGTAGTACGATAAGTGGCATCACTGCCGATTTGGTCCCATCTCTCCCTCGCATCATTTTTCACGCAGTCCTATTTCGCATCTCAGCAAGAAAATTCAGAGTTGCGACGCATTTGAGAAGGGGTGTATAGCCGACGATGGCGTGTCGGATCCAACCAGAAGCGAGTAACAACACCGTCTGTGTACCCGATCCTGAATCATCACTTTTTCTGTTTCTTCCAAGTTATCATTTGCTTCAATAGATGTATCATTTTTATTATACATATATGTCATATATGAATTGCACCAGCACCCGCCAACATGAAGTTATATAACGCAGAGTCGTTGGAGAAAGTGGTTGGGAACAATCAGTGCCACATGGGGTTTTGGTGTGTGTGTGTGGGGGGGGGGGGGTCTATGTGCGGTGACATATGGCTGAATAGGCAAGGTATCATCTAACTTACTGCTCGGTTCCATGGTGTCTTCCTTCTGAGGCCCGGACAGCTGTCGGACTGTGTGTCCCTGTCAGAATGGGTCCACCAATCCATGGTGTGCGCCTGTTCAGCCGAATCCTGCTTGGACGTCCGGGAGATCTAAAATCTAGGACGTGTTGCAGTAGGAGACTGGGCAGAGCTTCCGTGGAGGTACCGACTGCTCACTCGGATGTCGTTCTTCCGGCTGTATATGCACCGGAAGGCATGCCCACAATTTATTCGACACTGGGTTCACCGGGACAACGAGTATGCGAAGCCAACTTTTGCCATCCCTCCAGCTCTTGTCTCTGCGTGTTTGCTGCACGATAGTTCTTCTTGGCTTGAGATGTTGCTGTTTTCGCTTGCCAGATGGTGGCGCAGTGGCGTCGACATGCAAAGGCGCAGTTCTTGACTTGATGGAGCTTGTTCACACGCTTCCGCCCGAACTGCCCTATCTTGGAAATAGCCATCCCCTGACCCCTGACCACTGCAGCACAGGGCCCTGACCTGTCTGTGGGGCTTGCTGGCATTTAAGTGCGGGAGAGGGCCACGGACCTGTGCACGCCTTCTTCGATCATGCCACAATCATTCACGGTTCCATTTATGTTCTACAGTCAAGTCAGCCCTATACAAAACTTTGAATCAACCTCGAGGATGCTTCCTTCTGCCGGAAACGCGCCAGGCCTGCTACCAGGGAGGAGGTGTTCGGAGTTCTCCTTTGTAGAATCAGGGGGCCTGTATATTATAAGGCTAGCACGCAATGCTGAGGTCAGGCCTAGAAATATCAAGGCTCCAGCATGTGTTGGAGGTTCTGTCGAGACAACGTGGCGTCCGCAGTCTTGCAAGGCTGGCCCGGACGTGCTTCTTCTCTCGACCTACTCTTCTGCAGCCCATGCTGGAAGTGAAGGACAGCATCCTGGCGTGGAAATCGGTTTGTTGGTGGCGATCAGTTTGTGATACCCGTCAGCGGCACAACAGGTTTTCGCACTTAACCCATTCTCTGCTGGAGGAGATGGTTTTCGAGGCTGGACGATGCCCGGCTCGCCTAGTTTTTGCACGCTCCACAGCGGAAGCAACGCAGAGAGCCGAGATAGATCATGTCAAGCATGCCTCAGGCACATGGTTCATGACGCATGGTGTTGTTTGTGCGAATGCACACATCCACATGCATGCAGCGCATTGCATTGCATTACATTACAGAGTTTACCCTACCCTACCATGCCATGCCGCACCATATACCATCTGCTATCGAACATATACCATGTCCACAACACAACTTATAGCGCAATACAGGATAGCGTGGCACAGCGCGACATAACCTAGAAATACCTAGAACAGGATAGCAGAGCATCGCACCGGATAGGGTAGCGTAGAATAGCATACATTGCACTGCCTTGTTCATATGAATGTCTGTATGTCTGCATGAATGTACGTATGCGTATGTATGCGTGTACGCATGTACGTGTGCACGTATGGAGCTCGGCAGGTCGGGGCCACTCCGCTGATCTCTTTCCCAAACCGCTGTGTGCGCCTCGCCGGCTCCTTGGGTGTTCTTGCAGGGCGCTTTTGGGATGAAATTTAGGGTTCTAAAGTGAGAGGGCCTGGGCCCTTCCATGCGGCTGTCGGAGTTACATGGATTCAATTTGCGATGGCCTGCCCAGCTCTCGCAGCACCATGCTTCGGCAAGATTTTTTACAAACCCCCAAACCCGCCCAAACTCGTGCAACTGGTGGAACCAAGAGTTTGAAAAACATACCCAGCTTCCAGATGGCTGAGTAAGAGTACTACTGTTGTTGAATGCACTCACAGTTTTGTATGATATAGTTATGAAAAGTTAATGTTCGTCACTTGTACAGCACTTGCCCGTACCATTGTTTCCGCCGTGTTTTTTGTGTGTGGCGCACCTGAGCCCAGGAGGACTTCGCCTCAGAGGTGGAATCACAACTTGTCCGGGAGGGCCCAGAAGCGGGTGTCTTTCAGGTGGGGGCCCTGAGGGGCAGGACCATGTGATTCTGGTGCTTGTGCTTTCAATTTCGAAGCTTGGAGCCTGAAGATGATGATGCCGAGAAGCAGGAGAAGCAGGATCAGGATAAGGATGGCGAGGACCATGAGCGTCTTCATGCCTTCTGCGACTTCTTGCTTCTGGCATTGTTGCTGATGATGAGGACGTGGATTTCACTGCTGCTGCTGCTGCTGCTGCCAACTACTGTGTAGAACTTTATATAGTTCTTGACCACGGGACGGTACCGTTTTCCATTGCTGCGTGGGGAAGAAGTTTTCACTTGCCTTGTTGAGCTCACAGTCATCGTGCCAGTGTTTAGAATTCAGCAACATGCAAGGACCTGGAACGCCGACGCGAGACCATTGTAGCCGCATTGGAGGCGCATCTTCTATTGTTCGGTTCTGGAACTTGCCGTGTAACTAGGTGGTTCAGGTTTCATGGGTTTCGATGGAACGGACAAGGTCTTCATTATCATTAATTGGGGTAATCAGTCAGACCTTCACGTCATGGTCGGACCAGCCGCACGGCCCGTTTCTATGCCAGCTGCGTACTTCTCAATGGATGACATGATTGTCGTTGCAGCTCCTGTATCTTGGGACAAGGAGCAGGCTCACTTTGACAAAACTACCACCACGGGACGTCGACTAATTTCTGCACTGTGCAACTACTACGCTAACTACTGCAGAAAGTGTAAGTGCTGTCGTCGTCGCGGTGGTTGTTGTTGTTGTGGTGGTGGTTGTTATTGGAGGTGGTGGCGTGTGTATACCTCGAGTAGCTCTTGCTTCGAACACTCGCCCGATGCTCTGCAGGGGCTGATCGGCACAGTTCGCCGGCCGCTCAGGGCAGCAGGGATGTTGAGTTGGGGATTGAACTAGGGTGGTGTCTACGTAGGATCTTTCTTATGCGAAGCCAGCACCGAGCGTTGTCAAAACCGACAGACCAGCAAAATGACAAATCTGTAACATGACATCTGCTGCGCCCCGGAACTTCCGGCAAGGTATGGGGCAGAAACATGTGGCAGAGAGTGCTGGTGTTCTGTCGGGTTTCTGGTTACGTTACATGTGGCTATAGTCCATGGTTAGGTACTTACCAGCCTAGCCACTAGACATGGACGGGTCTGAGCGGCGAGTCTCGCTGAGGTCACTCGGCTGACCTGTTCTGCAAGTGCCCATCTCAGCAAAGATGTCAAACGTTGTCCAGTCGTGCGACTGCGCATTAATACACTTTGTGCTTCTGATGGCTCGTTGAACAGCTTGTTGAGTTGACTTGCTGCCAGCACCAGCTGCATGCGAGGCGCCGAACATCTCAGATCAAATCCTTTGCCAGCAGCCGCGTGCGGTCTATTGCCCAGGCGGCCACCCATCCCTATCTGCAAATTCTGCAAAGAGATCAGGCTTTGCTATAATTGATGTTTCTTACAAGACTTTGCTTTCCCCTTGCCGCCAATTGGGACGCAGAGAGCGAGAGGGAAAGAGCGAGAGATTGGCGGCTCTTGTGACAGGACAAGCACGAGGCGAAGGAGCCTGCCGCTGGCCGTGGCTATCGCAGGGCAGACAACTTCTTGGATTCTTAGATTGATTCTGCGTTTATCTGATATTTGATCTGACACTGTGGTTGTCGACTTGTCACGTTGCAAAGGTCTGTTAATAGGGTGTTTGCCGCGCTGTCCTTGCAGATGTGTACAAGAGCCGAGATGCACTGATCAAATTTCAAGATGTCCGGAAGGGTGAGTACTGGATGGGCTGGATGAACTTGCGCAGCTGGCTCTCTCTACTTAGTAGCTGAGTTCTACTTAGTAGTTGAGTGGGTACACTTTACACTTCTGGGGATATTATATTGTCCTCAAGAATCGAAAGTTTACACCTTTTTGGGCTGATGAACTCAGCAACTAAGTCTGTGTACTTTATACAGCACATGTATCTTTATACATTCTATATATATATATATACACATACACATACATATACGCCACACTGCACGCAGACGCTCTGCAGGAGCGCTTCCGAAAAGAGCAGATAGTCCAGGAGGCCGGCGACATTCCGATGGACACCACTCTTCCAACAGAAGGTTTAGGGTTTAGGGCTTAAGGTTTAAGGTTAGGTAAGTACTCTCGCTTTGCAGGCCTTGGTTGAGCAGGGATGAAGCTGTTCATGTCGTGTTCCTTTCCCGCTGGTGCCTGGGCAGAGTCCTTGGTCCTGTGCTCAGTGGGGTGCTGGCATTCATCAAGACCAGATGTAACAGGGGTTCACTGCTTAGGGCTTAAGGGGTAGGGGGTTATTTCCGAAGCTTAGGAGCTTCTTAAGATGTAAAGATTCAAGACGAGAGGTGGGTCCATTTGTAGGGTTGTCAGCGTTTGAGAAGTAGCTGGCACAAGGAAATTGAACCCTGATGCTTAGAGACCAGGAGCCCCGTCCTGCAGGTTCTTGGGGACGTGCACGCTTAAGGGGCGAAATGGCCCCAGCCCCATAGCACGTGAGCCCCAAGTTTCGGTGTTTTGACCTATCTGGCAATCCATGCAAGTCCCCACAAGGTCACCAGGTCTGTCTATTTTAGTGTAGGGGCGGGTTCTGCAGGATGAGGCCGCCATCCGTGGCTGCATTCGCCTCGCCGACTGTATGCTCCAGGCCTTTGGCCCGGGGGCGTTGTGCTTATCTGGTGTAACCTACTGGTGGGGCCTTACAGTCAAACAGCAGGGATGGAGGGATTAATACGCAAAGCGAGAAGTCAATATAGGCACCCTACAATCAAGCGGTTAGTTTGGTTAGACTGGCATTTCAGCTGCCGCCATGAGAGACTGGAGTGACTGAGCATGCCGGGACCCGGGCAAAGCTGATGGTCATCGTGATGCCGCGAAAACCACTTGTACACGAAGCATGCAAAGCACCCCACCCTCACAGCAGAAGCAGGTTGGACACCGTGTACCCAGAGCCCAGTGTTCCGAGGCAAACTTGGCGGCCAGCGTGGCCTCAGCAGCCGAGGAGTCTCCTTGAATTTTCCGGCGCAGTGCTGGGAGCAATTGACGTTTTTGTTGCCAAGACTTTTGGGCGGAAGTTTGTATTCGCCTGCTGTCGTCGCAGCTGCAGCCTGTTCGATATTGGTGCCCTCTATTTGGATGCTTACCAAGCATGAGAAACAACATCCCTCCAGTGACCAGAAGGTTTCTCAAAAATTCTGCCCGACCTTCGAGTCTTTGGCTCAAGCGGCGTAGGTCCCAAAAGTAGCCCGACACCGAAGACGGCGAACCAGGGCTCAAGGCCCTGGGAGTCTCTTCGATGGTGGCCCGGACTCGAATTGGTTGGAGTTCTGGGCTAGCTGTTGCAATAAGACGCAGATTCTTGCCTCCGAGGCTTTCGTCGATACAGGCATCACCGAGCCTGACTTTCAACAAGGCCCGCACTTGTTCACTTAAGTTTCCTACCTGACCTGCTTTCTCGTCTGCTCTCGACTCTCTTTCTCTCTCCATGGCTCTCTGCGTCTCTCTCTCCTTCCCTCTCCCTCCCGGACTGGCAAGGATGTTTCCCTTGCTTAGTCTTCGTTTGATCAGATTTCAGAATCAGCTTGAGCTTCCTGGTTTTTTGCTGGACATGTTTCCCAAGTTCCGCAGCTGCTGCCTTGCAGGCCACCGTGTCCTTGATGCTGCTTCAGCTGCTGCGACAGCATCGGAGGGTTTGGCATGACATTGTCACTGCCCGCAGTGGTTCACTGATTGGCACTCTGATGCGTGATGCCATCTGGGCTGCGGCAAGAAGATGCGGAGAGTTCTCACTCCGAATCTTCGCCTGGCTTTGGAGAAGACTGTGTGAAGTCAAACCTGAAGTGGTTTCCCCGAGGTTTGGCTTCGGGAAGCATCTCGCGATGGGAAGCGCGCCATCGACCGGAAGAGCATGACTCCTGACTCAGCCGAGTTTAGTGAGAGCCCGAAGGATTCTCACGGCGCGTGCCGGCGATCATATTTCAACAGGGGTTCGCTATGATAACAGGATACGGGCCCCAAAGCATGCGCAGAGCAGCAGCTCGAATCTGGAAGTGTCAGGGGTTCAAAGTCTGGCAATCCGAATGGAGCTTTTCAGTCGAGCGTGGCCTTCACGCTTCGGATCATCCTCAGGAGCAGCACCTACGGAGGTTCTTTGTCTGCCAGAGCGCTGAACAAGATGTCCGTGGCTCGTCTTCAAATCTTGGCTTGACCTTCCAAGGCTCTATAAGGAATGTGCCAACCCGTTGGTGTTTCTGGTATCTTCTTGCGTGCGCAGTGCTAACCTTCGTGCCGATTCAGACCCTCAGAAAACTCGGCAGATCCCGTGTGAACTGTGGTTTTACACATGTTTACATGTTTTACCAACTCTGTTCAGTGCTATCACGAACATGTGCTTATACACGACACAAGCTTCGTTGTTCTCATGCTGCAACTCTTGCTTGCCTGTCTGCTCACAGGTTTCAATCCATCACTGTCGTTAGTGACAAGACCATGTGTCGCCGCCCAACTTGTGTCAAGCATCGACAGCCGGGCCCGAAATCCGAAGAGCTACATGTCCAGCTAGGCCTTTTCAATGCCGTCAGCCGCCCTTGAATCCAGGATCCTGCGCAGAAAATCGTCGTATCAGCCGGTGGCCTCTCCGCGAGAGATTCTTGGCGATTGGCCAAGGACACCTCCATTGTAATTCTACGGCTCTACAGACTTTAGACTCTGTAGATTCTCTAGATGGGGTTTTCTCAGACATTGCTAGAGACTGGATGCACTGTTAATTGGCGCTTTACTCAGTGACCTGGCCGGGCAAGCTGAAACGAGTTCTTTGTTTGCTATTGGCTTGCCTCACGGCAAGTAATCCTTTGGTTTACAGGGGTTTGGGGTTGAGATGAAGCTACAGTTACAGACTGCACAGGCACACCAGGCAGACTTCATAGTCTGCACCGTGGCGGCCTCCCGCCACCTATGTAATCCAGTTAGCCAGCTGAGAGATTCATTGCGAAGGCTCAAGGTCATGTGAGACCTCTGAAGGCGTGGGCGTGGCATTAAATGTCCTAGTCAGTCCTTTGCTAGTTTTTCCGTCCTATCTGAAATCCAGAGCCCTGAGTGGACAGGAGCCGGCACCCAAGCAAGGCGGTCTCCTCCTGCCATTGACTCCTGGAAGCTTTGGAAAATGGGTCCCGGCTTCACGGACGTTTTCGGATGAGTAGCGGTCAGTGAGGGCCAGGGCTGAGTTGCTTCATTCTCAGTTTCTCTGAGAAATTGAGTTCACTTGTCCATTCCTGGTGGTTTAGTTTAATTCTTCCTACATTGGTTTGTTCATATGTACATACATAAATGCTCACATTTATACACTCGATCACGCTTTAAGACTTTGAGATGCGTTGCTCAATAAACTAAACCAAGCGGCTGAATGGTGCTTCATCTTTCACTCCAGATGTAGCAGTCCCATCATCGCATGAGGTGCGACTGAATGGATCGGGCCTCTTGCCGAGGACAGCTGACGAGCGCAAGTTGCAAGACTTGGTTCAGTCCATGGCGAGCAAGGTGGGCTGAACCTGAATTTTCCGTTTGGGGGGTGACTCAGGCCGGGCGTCGGCAAGGCTGCAAAGTGCAGGATCCAAGGAGCAGAGACCAAGATCTTAACGTTTTACTCCGCACAACTCCGCAAGACCCAGCATGTTGTGCGCGCAAAGTTGCGCTTAGCATCGGCCTAAACCTTGCGATGGAAAAGCTGCGAAGCAACTTCACTGCTCATGGCATTCGGAAGATGCGGCTCACTACCACATCTCTTCTAATTATGAAGCATCAAGAGTTTTCGCACTAGGCTACAGTCATTGTCTAGGGCGAATCCAACCTGGCAGTTTCCAGGCCATCACATAACCCCGAATTCAAGCGCGCAAGGGCTGCAAAACTGAAGACGATCGGCAGGCTACACATATTCTGCAGCACACCGTTTCAGTACTGTTCCAGCTACACCCATTTGCTACAGGTCTCATGCTTTGAGGACTGCGCCAGCTTGTGCTTGTTTGTCACGGTGTTCTGAACGATACACATCGCACGTCACCTCGCCGTGGCGGGTGCAGTGTAAACAGAGTGTAGAGTTTCCAGCGTGGCTGTCCGAGGCGGCGCTGCGGTTCGCCTCCATCAGCGCCTGAACAGCAAAAGGCAGAGTCCAGGTTTCCAGGGATGTGGAGGGCACATCCTGGCCGAAGCTGCACTTTATCACAACATGTGAAAGTCTTTCTTAGAGGCACGAACAGCGGCATTGAAACCATGATGAAGGCACACCAGCACATGCTGTTGAGGCTCGCAGGGGCCTGTTCCACCATGAGACTTGGGCCTCGTAGATTGAACTGCATAGTCGCCGGACGTACATCTCCGACGCTTCCACAGTATCCGACGCTCGTCCCATCATATATATATATATATGTACATATATATATATATATATACACGTCACCGCAACTAATGGAAGTTTAGTAAACCTCGTTGTTGTTCGTGCGATGCAGCTAAGCAGCTAAGTTCCAGCCGAAATCACATGTTACGTGCCACATGACAGCTCGCACGTGCTACAGCCGTCCGTCGCCCAGGTGACGTTTTTCGCGGGCTCGATCCGGACAGGGATGGTAAGATTGACCGCAGTGAGCTCCGTCCCCCAGCTAAAGATGGGCGATGCGGGGAGAGTCAGAGACCGCGAGAGCATCTTAGGCTTCAGAGTTCGGACGTCGTAGCCTCGCGGTGCCACCTCAGGCCCTAAGCCCTTGACCTCATTCATCGGCTTGATTGTTTGTGAACTGAGCTCCGGGACCATCAGCCACTGCAAGTACACAGCACACAGCTTTGCCAGTATGGTGATATTTGCCCGTAACGCTCGTCATCGTCGTCGTGGTCGTTGGCATAGCAGACAAGCCTAGAGCAATAGTGCCAGTAGTGGTGGTAGAAAGTCGTAGAAGTCGTCGTAGTAGTCGTGGTACTTGTAGCAGTCGTAGCAGTTGTCGTCGGTGTAAGTAGTAGTAGTAGTTAGTAGTAGTAGTAGTAGTAGTAGTAGTAGTAGTCGTAGTCGTAGTAGTAGTAGTAGTAGTAGTACTAGTAGTACTAGTAGTACTAGTTAGTAGTAGTAGTAGTAGTAGCAGTAGTAGTAGTAGTAGTAGTAGCAGCAGCAGCAGCAGTAGTAGTAGTAGTGGTAGTAGTGGACGACGTTGCGGCGTCTGCCTTGACTCGATTGGTGGACTGCCACAGTGCTGCTGGAGCCACATCAGTGGAGATCACTGCCCGGCCGGTCATCCATTGCTGCCGTCGGGGCTCAACCGACCTGTCTGTCGACAGATGGTCCCCAGGTCGTTGCGGGTATCAGGTTAGCCAGTCATCCTGACATTCAGCAGCTACTTAAACAACACGGCACGAATCTGGCACTGCATGTCAGAGGTGTCTACTTTGTGGACAGTGGCTGGCCACCTCCAAGATAGTCAGTCAAGACACACTACAAGGGTAGCCACCCGAAAGCCTTTGCCCTCACTGATGCTGCCACCCGCCTGTGTAAAGCCTTCCCCGGTTGTGGTTCTCCTTGCCAACACGGTGGAGTTACAGTCAAGCAGCTTAGGCACCACAAACTGCAATCTGTCTCCTAGCAGCAAACCCTGCTGTGGCCTTGTCAGACAGTGCATACATCCCAGAGCATGACCATGACCACTCCAAAGATAAAACATGCAGAGATCTTCGGTGCACTTGCGAAGTCGCAAGCCTCCGCGTTCGGTGCAGCGCTACTGGCGGGGACAGACTTGACACAGTAGGATCACCCCCCGAAGTCGGCGAGACTGGACAACGGGAAAACGCAACGTCCGCGAGCGGACAATCAGCCCTCGACACCTTTTTGGGGTCGATTCGGAGGGGGGGACCACGGGGCCGAGGACAGCAAGGGCAGGGAACTCAACATGCTCTCATCAAGGTCATGGGTCGGCTCCTCATTCGTCAGGACACCAGTATACAGGTGCTCAAGCAGAATTCGGCTTGGCATCTTTATCTGCAGCCGGGGCAACTGGGCCCCATGCCGCTGCTGCACAAGGCGTCGGAGGCATATGGAATGTCGGCGGAGGGCTCAGATGATTCACACCCTGTTTCAGACTGTCATGCAGTGTCTCCAGACCATCAGCTCCACCCAAGAGCAGCAACAGGAGGTCAAGGAAAAGGGCTGGATGACTCAGGAAGGCTTACCAGCCATGTGAGCAGATTCTCGTTGTAGACGACACTCGTCCACCGCTGGGACACCAAGATCTGATCTCCCTGCTAGGAGCCATGGCGACCACGGTGAAGAACAGGGATGTCATTCACAGGTTCAATGCGACGCATCAGATCGGTGCAGAGCAGACGGGGCTATCGAAGTTCTTGTTGGAAGTGGGGCTGAGAGCCCCAGGAGTCGCGGATGCATGAGCCGGCCTGGAAACTCTTGAGCGGCTGGCAGCTCTGTGGGTGGTGGGGGTCCAATTGAGGCGAGATGGGCTTCGACGCTGCGATTTGGTGAACGACATTCAGAAGATGCTGGGAGAGTTTTGGGGCTGATCCTACGAAACCCCTCACAACACGGCTACATTAACTCGTTTGCGCTATCGTGGCTGTGGACACACTGTCTGTTGGAAGCGCCAGATGCTCAACCCCTTGGGGCGTTTCCACAGGCGTGGAAAGATCTACTGTTTGGCCATTCCCCTGCAACCGTCTTCAGAACACCATCTTGGAACAGGCTATTCGGCTATTCAGGGGCTGGTCACGGCCGGCAGCTCAACACGACGTGGCAGCTTTCATAGAGTATGTAAACACTGGACAGTTACCTCGTGCACTTCAAGGCCAATGGCAATCCAGAATGGGTACTGGTGGGGATGCATCTGTTGTGTCTCCAACCATACTTCATTTGAAGGGGGATGGCTTTGCAGACACCCTGCAAGGATGTATTGAAAGATGGCACATGCAGGCTCGGATCCATGGGCTGACAGCTGCTTCACCCCTTGTTCTGTTGCAACTGGCCAAACACGGCTACGGGGCAGCTGGAGCTTGGAAGGATCACTCGTGCAGATTTTTCAAAAGCTCTCCATTCCGGTTTTTGGCCGCAGGCTCAGAACCTTTCGTTCAACCTATAAGATCAGTGCTGTTATGGTGCATCATGGTTGATTCGGGACATTATACTGCGAAGCTCTTAGAGCCGAGCGCTCTGCCCAGGGGCTCATGCTGTGGGACCGATGATGGTCGCGCTGCGAGGCGACGAGATTGCATTCCATCCACTGCTGAGCACAATGTATACATTTTCATATTGGCTCGCTGCAGATTCATTTGAGAGGACTTTACATGACATGGGCCAGTGAGTTACACTGTACAGTACGGTTCAAACGGTCTGATGTCTATGCTTGCTGCTATCTCTGCAACGAGGGTAGTTACAATCACGAAGGTCTGGAGTGCCCGCTGACATCAATGTCGGGGCAATGATTACTTGGCTCTGAGAATCAAAGCGGATCTCTTCGCTGCGAATGAAGTAAAGAAGAAGAAGTAGTAGTAGTAG